GTCATCATTTAATAACTGTGATTACTTGATTATTTAGTTATTGTTTATTTGATGTTTACCCTAACTATTACCAGCTTCAAGCCTTCTCAGAAGATGTGTGCAGTTGCATGTCTTACATGCAACTGCACACATCTTATACCACGCATATAATACTTTGTTTTGACATCTTGGCGCCAACTCTTGTGTGATTTAAATTAGCACATTTAAAAATGGGCTAATATAAATCTTACCTTAAAACTGGAAATAGAAATGAAAAACTAAAAAAAAAAAAGTGTAAAACTAAACAAAAAAATAAAATCTTAACAAATGATAAAGTGAATTAAAAATAAATCAGAAAAATTAAAGCATACAATTAATATGTTTTTATTTTGATTTAAAAGCATTTTACTACAAAGAATTTAGAAAAAATAGAAGTTTTAAAGTTAATTAATCCAAGCTTAATTACTTCCAAATTTAATTATTTAAAAATTTGAAATTCTCATTTTTTCTAATGTGTACAAAGCAATAAACACAATAAAAAAATTTTTTTTAGCTGGTAGGATTTAAAGCCTCTTCCAATACGATATAAAAGTCACCCCCCATAAATGACACAATTAATCAACCTTAACGCTACATCAACCCGGGAATATAGAAAAAAATATTACCTTCAAACTATTAATTAACACGCTTTTTAACTAGATTTGTTAAGTTTGAACTTTCAGCGCATTTTTTAAAACATGCAAATAATGCAATGTTATGCAATAAATTATTAACACTAGTATTATGAACATCTTCAGTGTTGAGTTTTATTTTAAAACTAGTATTATGAACATCTCCTTGATATTAAACCTTATACTGTTGTTAACCAAACATATGTTTATGTTGACATGCATCAGATGTTTCATATTGACATACATCAGCTCCTAATGTATTTTAGAGGTTATTTTAACTGTTATTTTAGTGTGAAAAAAAGAAAAAAAGGATACAAAACATGCAAAAATTTTATTTATTATAAGGCTCATCAAGAACATGTTGCGCAATATTTTATTCACTGCCTTAAACATAAGTGGAATGGGCCTTTAACATATATGGAAAGTTACTGTGTGCTGCTGCATTTTATACTAAAGTAATTTACACCTACAAAAAAAGAGCAAATCAAAAAAATATTGCAAAAACACTTGGTGTAACTATAAGTCAGATTTTGAAACAGCTCAAAGTAAAAAAATTTAATCTTGAAATTCTTGCATTGTCCTAACACAAATTGTTTTAGAGGATATGCTCAATTAAGTATTTCTAATGTAAAGAAGCACTTTTCAAGATGTTTTTACAAAGTTGTTACTTAGAGGTAATATTTGCTGGAGATAAGTTAAATCTTGAACAAAAAAAGAGCAGCAAAGGTAGCCATCATTTTTAAAGATCAAGGAAAACACTTTAAAATTATAATCACAAATCATTGATATATTTTATGTTTATTTCCATTTAAATGTATGATAAACTAAACATTTATAAATGCTGGTGTGATGAAATATTCCAGCAATTTGTCTGAGAATTAAAATATGAAAAATTTTTCATTTTGTGGCATAACTTAAAAAGAAGGATGCAGGACCCTTCTTGAACATCCTTATTCCTGCTTCAAAAAATTTCTCATGCTTATAAAAAAAAAACATGCATTTTTTTATTTCCATGATATCTCAGATTACCTGGATATTATAATTCATTTGAATATTGTTCATAACGGTATTCGTTTTGGTTCAAAATATCAAAAAATTATGTCCTTAAAAGTGTTTATAATCAATTATAAAAATGAATGTGTCAATATATTACTGAGATATGTAACTTTATATATAACTGAGATATGTAATTATATAAATAACTGACAGGTGACAGCACACAGGCAAAATTTTGTTAACAAGAGCAATTTTGCAGCAGACAAAACAAGTGCAACTTTATTGATTTGTTTCATTTTCTTAAGTCTGGTCTGTGTCAACGTCACAGAAGTTTTTTATTACATCAATACAGTCCACATCCAACCAAGATGTTGTGTTCCACAGAGCATTATTGTATCATCAAAAGGCAAATGTAACAGGGTAAGCTTTGAGAAGCATGATTATTTTTATTATTTTTATGACTTTAAGTGCAAAAATGGCTCCCGACAGTCTTGGATTGGAACTAAAAAAAAAATTATTGGCGATTACGTAAGTGGAATGTCACAAAAAAGTATTTGTGATAAATATTGTGTAAAAAAATGGGCCGTATCTAGACTATGTTCCAAATATTGTTAAGTTGGCAGCAGATAACAAAGATGGAAGACCGCGTTTCACCACTAATAGAGAGGATTCTATTATTGCCAGATCCGTCAAGAAGGATCCCTGGATTATCAGTCGAGATACAAAAGCAATTAGAGCTGCCTGTATCGAACTGAACAACTAAAGCACCAGAAGAAAAGACTCCTGTTTGCTACATCTCATACTGACTGGAATGTGCAGAAATGGCAAACTGTCCTGTTCAGTGATGAATTAAAGTTCAACATCATTAGGAGCGATGGCATTTGCTATGTACGTCGACCATCCAGAAAATGGCTCAATTTATGTTACTACCATAAGACCGTGAAGCAAGGTGGAGGCAATATAATGGTTTGGTTGTGTCTTTCTGCTAACGGTCTAGGTCCAATACATTGAATCGATAGAATAATGGACCGTTTCATGTATAAAAATATCCTAAAAGATGTTATGTTACTTCATAACATCTTTTAGCATAAGATGTTATGTTACTGCAATAGTAGTCAAGCAGTCGTTTCAATACAACCACCTATCGGTGATGGATTTGCCGCCTCAATCTTGGGATCTCAATCCTATCAAGAACCTGTGGGAGATCATCAACCGCAGAATTAATTGTGAAGGTGTTCGTAATAAGGATCAACTGTTTGAACAAATCCAAAAGGCCTGGGCAGCGATTCCACAAAGTTTCATTGATCACCTGATTGAATCTATGCCTCGAAGATGCAAGGCTGTGATCAACAACGAAGGATTCGCCACGAAATATTGATAGAGAAAAACAGCGTGGTCAACATTTTGTGGAGTTGCACTTGTTTTGTCAAGAAGAAAATCAACTTTTTAAAATACTTTTAATTAATTTATTAATTTTTGTGTACAAATAATGAACTTTGTGATGAATAGTTATTTCTCTAAATTTTAAAAAAATGCAGCACTTTTTTATAAAGAAACTAAATTAGCATTATTTGATTGCACTTGTTTTGTCCGATACAGTATATATATATATATATATATATATATATATATATATATATATATATATATATATATATATATATATATATATATATATATATATTATATATATATATATATATATATATATATATATATATATATATATATATAACTGAAAATTAAAGAAAAGAAGAAAATAAAACACAAAAAGAAGTGTTTTTAATGTTGTTCTTAGATTTTTCAAATCTTACTTTTTTGCATTTTACCAAAACAAATATCAAACAGTATAATATTTAAAATTATATATATATATATATATATATATATATATATATATATATATATATATATATATATATATATATATATTTATATATATATATATATATATATATATATATATATATATATATATATATATATATATATATATATATATATATATATATATATATATATATATATATATATATATATATATATATATATATATATATATATATATATATATATATATATATATATATATATATATATATATATATATATATATATGGATGTGGAGCGACTTTTAAAATTTTGAAAATTTGATTTGTCTGAGCTGCGAATCAATGTTTTTTGGTGAAAAACTTACTTTTATTTTTAAATTAGATGAATTCTTGAGGTTCCTCTTTGGACTCTAATTTTTTGACGAGACCTAATACTGTTGAAATTTATTTTTTTCTTCTTAACTATATTAAGCTCAAAAGTAGCAGAATAATATGCTGATTTTGAAAATAATATTTGTTTTTAAAACTAAAAAAAAGAGTCATTTTTTCATAAAAAAACAACTCCTTTTCAACAAAACAGGGGTTTTAGGTATATTTTTGCAAATATTTTTCGCACCAAAATTTTTTATAAAATTACAATTTATAAAACAAGCATTTTTTTCTGCTTTTTTTGAGAAATGTTTAAAAAATTTTTTTTTTTTAAATATTAGTAAGGAAAAAAATTGAAATGATACTGAGTTATTGGAATGTTATATAAAACATTTGTTCAGCCCCTTATTAAATTTGCAATGCCTGTTTGGTCTCCTTACTTCAAAAGTAAAATTGAAGCTTTAAAAAGAGATTGCTCTAGTAGAATTGTTTCTTTTGTTGAGAAATTTGACATATGACAAAAGGTTAAAACGTCTAAATATTACAGATCTTTATATACACAGAGATTCAATCCATATATATATATATATATATATATATATATATATATATATATATATATATATATATATATATATATATATATATATATATATATATATATATATATATATATATATATATATATATATATATATATATATATATATATATATATATATATATATATATATATATATATATATATATATATATATATATATATATATATATATATATATATATATATATATATATATATATATTTTTTGGTAAAATGCAAAAAAGTAAGATTTGAAAAATCTAAGAACAACATTAAAAACACTTCTTTTTGTGTTTTATTTTCTTCTTTTCTTTAATTTTCAGTTATATATATATATATATATATATATATATATATATATATATATATATATATATATATATATATATATATATATATATATATATATATATATATATATATATATAACTGAAAATTAAAGAAAAGAAGAAAATAAAACACAAAAAGAAGTGTTTTTAATGTTGTTCTTAGATTTTTCAAATCTTACTTTTTTGCATTTTACCAAAACAAATATCAAACAGTATAATATTTAAAATTTTGTAAACTTACGAAAACTTGTCCTTGCAGTAACAACTGAATGATGTGGTAAGAATATCAAGAACTATTTTAGCCTTAAAAAGTAAAGAATGCAGTGTTAACAAATTTTCTTTACAACTCCTGCTTATTATTATGTACTTTTTTTAAATGCCAAAAATTAGAATAAACTTGTGTTTTCAACCTTGTTTAAATTAAGAAAAAAGGATAAAAAAGGCTTAAAATTAAAAGGTAATACCTTGTGCTCATCAGTAGCTGTTATTTCAATAAACACATTTTTGGTATCAAGTGTGATTTTAGAGTGATGACCTAATAATTTTTGTGTTTAAAATATAAAAGTTATTTACATAAATTAAAATTCGGACAGCTATTAAATACATTAGTAAACTTTAAAATTAGGTGCAGCGTCAGTGTAGCAGACAACTTTTTTATATGTGTTATATCTGACCAGATAAAATATATCTGAATACAGTTTATTTAGCAAAGTAGTAGATAAATTATATATATCTTTAATTATGATATTATATAAAGTACAGTTTTAGCAAGGGTCTGTACATCTTTAATGTTCAAACTAAATTAAAACTCTCACACTGGCACACTTTTTTAGAAACATCAGAGGCATATTCAGGTCAGTTTTGATTCATCAAATTTATATAGTTTTAATTCCAATATATTATAGAGAATTTTAAAATATTTAGTTTAAAATATTTATATTTTTAAAATATTTCATATTCAATCCTTAAAATTTAAATATTTAAAACGCAATAAAAATAATTACTCACTGTTAATTATCGGTGGCATGGACAAGACAATACCATTTTTATCATATATAACAGGATAGAGGGGCTCTTTTTCAATAATATGCAGAAAATGCTTTAATTGATTATCACTCTAATAATAAAAAAATTAACGCAAAAACTTTGGATGCAAAACTATAATTTAATTTATAAATATTAAATTTTAGTATGAAACAATAGAGAAAAAACAAAGTAAATAAGTATTTGAATACAAAAACCTTATACAATTCCATTAACTCTATAGCAGATGTTTCCTTTGGTTGATTTAATGCTCTGAATACAATTTCATTTGGGGGTTTAGCTGTATATGTAAAAGGACCTTCTATTTTATCTAAATCATGTGTTCCCATAGAAACCAGAGTTCTTTTGCGACAAATATTGTGATGTAACTTTTCTTGTAAGTCAATAAAACTATTGTAGGAAGCCTGTAATGTAATATATTTCCTATTATAACAAAATTTATATATATATATATATATATATATATATACATATATATATATATATATATATATATATATATATATATATATATATATATATATATATATATATATATATATATATATATATATATATATATATATATATATATATATATATATATATATATATATATATATATATATATATATATATATATATATATATATATATATATATATATATATATATATATATATATATATATATATATATATATATATATATATATATATATGGATGTGGAGCGACTTTTAAAATTTTGAAAATTTGATTTGTCTGAGCTGCGAATCAATGTTTTTTGGTGAAAAACTTACTTTTATTTTTAAATTAGATGAATTCTTGAGGTTCCTCTTTGGACTCTAATTTTTTGACGAGACCTAATACTGTTGAAATTTATTTTTTTCTTCTTAACTATATTAAGCTCAAAAGTAGCAGAATAATATGCTGATTTTGAAAATAATATTTGTTTTTAAAACTAAAAAAAAGAGTCATTTTTTCATAAAAAAACAACTCCTTTTCAACAAAACAGGGGTTTTAGGTATATTTTTGCAAATATTTTTCGCACCAAAATTTTTTATAAAATTACAATTTATAAAACAAGCATTTTTTTCTGCTTTTTTTGAGAAATGTTTAAAAAATTTTTTCTTTTTAAATATTAGTAAGGAAAAAAATTGAAATGATACTGAGTTATTGGAATGTTATATAAAACATTTGTTCAGCCCCTTATTAAATTTGTAATGCCTGTTTGGTCTCCTTACTTCAAAAGTAAAATTGAAGCTTTAAAAAGAGATTGCCCTAGTAGAATTGTTTCTTTTGTTGAGAAATTTGACATATGACAAAAGGTTAAAACGTCTAAATATTACAGATCTTTATATACACAGAGATTCAACCCATATATATATATATATATATATATATATATATATATATATATATATATATATATATATATATATATATATATATATATATATATATATATATATATATATATATATATATATATATATATATATATATATATATATATATATATATATATATATATATATATATATATATATATATATATATATATATATATATATATATAAATATATATATATATATATATATATATATATATATAATATATATATATATATATATATATATATATATATATATATATATATATATATATATATATATATATATATATATATATATATATATATATATATATATATATATATATATATATATATATATATATATATATATATATATATATATATATATATGTTATAAATATTTATTATTCTATGCTCCACTTAAGCTAAAAAAGGAAGTGCTCTATACTATAGAATGTTATCTATACATCTATACTTGTCATTCTATAGTTTCTATACTTGTCATTGCCTATATATACTGCATCCTTCAATAAATCCAAAGGAATTTTTTTCTGATCACTTTAATCTTTTACTTGAAAAACTTCTGAAAATAAACAGGTTATGCTTAAGGGTGAATTTAATGCTTATGGGTGAATTTATTATGGACTAACTAAATTACAATGAATTACATTATTATCTCTGATTTAAACTCTCAAATCTAATGGTAACACTGTCTCAGACGGTATGGCTGTTGTTAACATTTTCAACAACTACAATAAAACAATACAACATTCACTCTGTATCTTCTCTGTCTATTTAAAAAATTCTAACTTTAGTTCTTTCTTTCTTAATTTGAAAATAAGGTGTCTGATTTAATAAAAAATACACTGTAACATGATAAAAGTTCAAGTCCAAATAGTAACCCCACACACCTTCTTAAACTTTTTTTCCAAGCCTATCTGTACCACATTGAATAATTCTTTTAATAGAACTTTTTCCAGATGTTTTTAAGATAGTCAAAGTCATTCCTATCCATAATTCACATAATTAACTTCTAATGGGTTCTCTAATGGACTACACAAATTATTGACCAATTTCTCTTTTATTTAATAATAAACTACTATCTTTGCCAAGAAAACACTCCACAGGTGTACCCAAGGTTCAGTATTAAGAGCAATGCTTTTCCTTATTTTTATAAATGATATAAATTATTTTATAAATACCTCTCTCAAACTTTTAAATGCTTACCAGTTTGCTGACAACACTAACTTACTCTTAACTAACAAATCATCAAAAATAAATCAAGAAACATATTAATCATAATTTAACCAATCTACTTCAATGGTTGCGCTCTCAAATCATTATACTAACAAAACTGAACTCATTGTTTCTAAATGAAGTCAATCTTAAATCTATAAGCACCAAGACTAAGTGGCCCAAAATATTTTCTTATTGTTTTATAAAAATATCTTGGAATCAAAGTAGATTCAAATATATCCTTTTCCTCTTATCTTAAAGAATTAGCAGTGAAATTGTGTAGATCAAATGGAATGCTAGCCAAAACTTTTCACTATGTCAATTATGAAACTTTACTCAATATATGCCATGCAATTTTTTGATCGCATCTCAGATAAGCTTGACAGGTTTGGAGACAAAGCAAGTCTCATGTTTTTTTAAGATTATCTAACCTACAGAACAAGGCTTTAAAAATAATATACTTTCAACAATATCATTCTAGTAATAGTAATATATATTTCTGCATAAATAGTATTTCACAGAGTATTTATAAATATAAAATTATATTAACTAACTGTGCAGCCCACCAACAGTAGATGGTGTGCTATAGTAGCCCGAGCTAAGCCTGTCAAGTAAAACCTTAAATTTATAGACTGATTTTGATGTTTTAATGTCATTTGGTAGACTGTTCCACTCCTTAACAATTCTGTTTTTGAAAAAATTATGTTGAATGTCTGAGTTTTTGAAAATCCCTCTCACAAAATTTCCTCTAATATTTCCTGCTAAATGTGAGTTCCACTCTACTATTTCTAAATGATTTTCTAGCTTAAACATTTGGATCAGATCTCCGCGATTTCTTCTTATTTCCAGCATTGTTAGATTAAGTCTATTCTTTTGCTTTATACAAAAGATTCATTTATTATTTATTCATTTATATGAAAGATTTTTCATAAAATGTGCAACTTTCATAACTCTTCGCTGAACTTGTTCAATTTTAAAAATATCTCCTTCTAGATATGGTCTCCATGCAGGCATAGCAAATTCTAGATGTGGGCGTGTAAAAATGGTATTTAGCCTTTTCCATATGTGCTCATTTTTTTTTTATAGCCAAATGCTAACCTTAGATTTTAATGTATGTTAAAAAATTAAAAAAATAATACTCTTGTTGCTGAATGGTTATCGCATGTCATTTTTTTATGTCTTTTCAGATTTTAAAAACACTAACTATCGCCAAGCAAATACTTGAGGGGCAATTTAGTTAAAATTTTACCCAGATCTCTATGAGATATTTAGGTAAGTGCATTTTTAAACTCAAAGCATTTACCTCAAGGTAAGTTAGGTAAATGGTCTCTTTTAAAAATTGGGGCAATATGGCCAATATAATTTTTTTTTTTTAAATCAGTTGTAATATGCTATATACATACAAATTAAAGAAAAATCCATACTTTAAATTGTATGTATATGCTATATACATACAAATTAAAGTATGGATTTAAAACACACTTTCTTTAATTTCATAAACATGTATTGCAATGTTTTGTTGTTTAAATTAGGTTTTGTTGTTTAAATTAGATTTTGTTGTTTAAATTATTTTTTGTTAAATGACCTAACTCCACTATATTTTGATTTTTTAAAAACTGATTTTCATTAACAAACTTTAATTAAAGTTTTAAAGCCACTTTGCTGATTTTCACATATAATGTGCATCTTGTATGAGTAATTCTTAAATAAAGTTCACAAGTTTATAGCTCTTAAAAAAATTTTTTATATTTTATTTAATAGTCTAGTTTTGTGATTTGCATTTTTTTCCCAAAATAAAAGATAAGAACTTAGAAATTTTTAGTGAGGTAAATATTAATTTAATATTTGCTGAACGGCAATATCTTTTAGCAATTGAATTCAGTCTTTTTTTAGTTGAATCAGATATTTTTCTCAAAAACGGCAGTTTAAAATAAGACATTTTTCTCCTAATGATCTTATTCCTCTAGATTTCAAATCGTTTGTAGTGTATAAATTTGTAAGTGCAGGATGTAACTCCTGTTATATAGGCAAAACTACTCGCCATCTCAAGACCTAGATATCTGAACATTACAAGAGAGACAAAAAGTCTCATATCTATACACATCTCCATGCTAATGAAAATTGTTTCATTGCAAATAAATGGTAAGTGTTTTTCTGTGTTGGATTGAGCATCTAACAAATTTGAGCTAAAACTTAAAGAAAGTAAGTCTATAGTCTATAGAATGGTTAAAACCTGGTATAAATAAACAGGTTATACATACATACATATATATATATATATATATATATATATATATATATATATATATATATATATATATATATATATATATATATATATATATATATATATATATATATATATATATATATATATATATATATATATATATATATATATATATATATATATATATTCATATATTGAATATATATGTATATACATATATTGAATATATACGTATATACATATATTGAATATATATATATATATATATATATATATATATATATATATTCATATATTGAATATATATGTATATACATATATTGAATATATATGTATATACATATATTGAATATATATATATATATATATATATATATATATATATATATATATATATATATATATATATATATATATATATATATATATATATATATATATATATATATATATATATATATATATATATATATATATATATATATATTAGTTACATAAACAATATGCAAGGAATTATAATGCATTGTTATACAAAAATAACATTTAAAATAAATAAAAATGCATTGATAACTAAATAGTCACAAAAAACATTAATTAAAAAGAATGTTTATATATTTTAGTATTTTGCAAAAAAAAAAGAAGGTAAATATCACTTGTCAAAAAAGTAAGTGCAATTTTGTGATTGAATTTGATACAATTATAATACCTGTGTAAAAGTTATATTTCTAAGAACTGCACCCACTGCAAAAGGTCTGATTTTTTCTACCTAAAACAAAGATTTGTTAAAGTATATTTTCTTAAAATATATAGTGAATGTTTGGTAATTTTTTTTATTTAGTAAAAATATAAAATTCTTTTTATTAAAATAGCTTGAGCTCAAGAGTATTAGTATTTAAAATTGAAAAAATAGACTGTGTACAACCAAGGAGTTTTAATACACAAGAGACAGCACTAAAGACTGTGTACAACCAAGGAGTACACAAGAGACAGCACTGTATATATTCTAATGCAAAATGTAGTGTATATATGCTAATGCAAAAGTTTTGTAAGTTAGCCACCCTATTGGTTGACCCAAAAGATTTTTATAATTAACACAAATAAAGGAACTTTATTAGTAAACCTTGCTGAAACCATAAGTTGACTGACTGATTATCTATTTCTGCTCATTTTAATATATATGGAACACTGAAATAGACATTATTTTAACACAAATTTAGAAGATACTATGTTTTACATATATGCTCTTTATGCTTTTGTTGAAATTAAAAAAAAAAAAAAAACTTTGAGAGTTTTTTTTACCCAAGTCTAAATGTAAATAAAAAATATATATTGTGTGCAAAACTAACCTTGGCACTTGGCATATGTTGAAGTTTTTGCCAAGGGCTTTGTAGTAAATTGCCTAGGCAAAAAAGCGCCCAGCCAAAAATAATTAACACATTTTGATATTTTTTTGTCAATAACATCAACTTATTTTTCAAAGATAAAAGAGTTTTCTATTACAGTATATTATATATATATATATATATATATATATATATATATATATATATATATATATATATATATATATATATATATATATATATATATATATATATATATATATATATATATATATATATATATATATATATATATATATATATATATATATCAACCCTTGGAATAAGGGTCGGCATTCGGCAATGCTGACCTAACTACCTACCTTAAAGTGTTTAATGTCGACAAAAAATTGCCAACCGAAAGGTAAATTTTGCACACTGTATATATATATATATATATATATATATATATATATATATATATATATATATATATATATATATATATATATATATATATATATATATATATATATATTATATATATATATATATATATAGCTAGTGAATAACTATTAATTATGAATTAAGAATAGTTTAAGCTAAAAAAAAGGTAAATTTTGCACGCGATATATATATATATATATATATATATATATATATATATATATATATATATATATATATATAAATATATACACACACACATATATGTAATATATATGTATATATATATATTACATATATATACATATATATATATACATATATCAGGCTTGGTCGGGAAGCGGGTGCGATCGCACTCGATAACTGACCACGGAAATAATATTTAGTTGCGAAAAACCGGCCAGATTTTTTAGTTGTTTTGAGAACATTTAAGTTTATGTATGTTTCCTTGTTTGTCCGCAAAATAATGAGTTCATTTTATCGTTAATTTTAAATGTTCTCAAACATCTTAGTACGGAAAAATAAAAAAAGAATAATTGCGTACACTAAAAACCCGCCAAATCTACAAACAACTAATTCTATTGGTTCAAAAAATACTAACTGAAATTTCTAGAGTATTCAAAAAATACTAACCAAGTATCCTGAGTATTCTGTTGAAATAATTTAAAAAATTGTATTATTTAAATTTTGTTACACTTTCGTGAGATTTCTAGCATAAATTATTTTAAGAATATACTATCAAACGAACTTTTATTTTAATTCTTGGAGCCACATCTATAAAGCTATAAATGTTTTAAACTAACATTATTTGTTTACAATAATAAATGTTTTATATTTATATTTTTTAACTTGTCAACGTTTTGTAAATATATTATAGATTTTATTAGTATAATCTTATTTTATATATATAAAGGATGTATTTTTTATGTATGTAATGTATTTTTATGTATGTAATGTATTTTTATCTATGTAATGTATTTTTATCTATGTAATGTATTTTTATCTATGTAATGTATTTTTATCTATGTAATTTTATGTCTATTTTATTAAAATGTAATCTTTTAAAGCAATTTGTGCGATTGATTTTGTAAAAAAAAATACTTTCAATAACAACTGCGTTTTCAATGAAATTATTAATAACCGTCAAAGTTAATACAAATAATTTTAACCACTAATCCATTTTCCTCAGTGTACCCGATAACTGATTCTTTCCCCCAAGAAAGAAAATTTTATAAGTTCCTATAAAATGGTTTACTAACTTCAATTATTTTTGCTTCAGCCATTCTTACAAACTCGTTATACTTAAAGTTACTTATTTCTGTTTTAAATACTAATTAAAATTATAAAGCCCACTCACTAAACATCATCAGCGTTATTGTGAAGCAGTTCCGCTTCCTCCTCACAATGTAATTTAACGTTTTTAGTTAATTTTTATGTAGCTAATTGAATTTCTACAGTAACTTAATTATTCAATTATTTCATTTGTTCGTGTTACTAAGAAGAATGTGTTAAACATTTTAAACTACGCAAAGCATAAAACATATATTGAAAAAACTTTTTTATTTATTAATAAATCATCTAGCGTTAGTTTTATTGGTTGAATCCTATTGGACTTTTCAGGGCCAGGGGCTGCATTATTTTGGTGGCCTTTTTTATGTGCCACAGCGTAAAAATGACAAAAAAAGATACCGAATGGTTCTCTTGACTATTTCCCCTATTATTTTAGTCCCGGGGCTATAGCCCTACTACCCCCACCCCACCTCCTCAATCCCCAACTGGAAATAAGACATAAGTATATAAATAAAAATTATATATACTCTTTGATAAATCGAAGAACATTTGTTTCACTATAGTTGTTACTTTATATAAAAAATGTCGCTAAATTTTATAAAAAAAGTTATAAAAGAGCGACGCTTCAAAAATAATTGCTCTAATAAATTTATTTTGCTTAAAGTTTTTTTGCATTAAAAGCTATTTTTCTTTTTTTAACTGTCTCTCATCGGTCCAGTTAGTTTTAATGCGCTTTTTTGTTTGTTTTTGAAATGTTCTCAAAACAACTAAAAAATCTGGCTGGTTTTTCGCAACTAAATATTATTTCCGTGGTCAAGTATTGGTGCGATCGCACCCACTTCCCGACCAAGCCTGTCAGGCTTGGTCGGGAAGCGGGTGCGTAAATTTTATCGTAAATTTTGAAATATTTTGTTTACGGAACATGGAAACATACATAAACTCGAATGTTCTCAAATATCTTGTGTGGAAAAATTAAAAAAAAAACACAAAAAACCGACCAAATCTACTAACAACTAATTCTATTGGTTCAAAAAATACTAACTAAATTTCTAGAGTATTCTGTTGAAATATTTTTAAAAATTGTATTATTTGAGTTTTGTTATGTTTTCGTAGCATAAATTGTTTTAAGAATATACAATCAATCGAACTATTATTTTAATTCTTGGAGCCACATCTACATACCTATAAATGTTTTAAACTAATATTACTTGTTTATTAAAATAAGTTGTTTAAATTTATCTTTTTTAACTTGTCAACGTTTTGTGAATATATTATAGATTTTATTAGGATATTCTTATTTTTTATATAAGGAATGTATTTTTTATGTATGTAATGTATTTTTTATGTGTATATTGTATTTTTATGTATGTATTTTTTATACATGTAATTTAATGTATGTGTATTTTATTCCAATGTAATCTTTTAAAGCAATTTGTGCGATTGATTTTGTAAACAAAAATACTTTCATTAATAGCTGCATTTTCAATGAGATTAATTATAATCATCAAAGTTAATACAAATAATTTTAACCACTAGTACATTTTCCTCAATGTACCCGATAACTGATTCTTTCCCCCAAGAAAGAAAGTTTTTAAGTTCTTGGAAAATAGTTTATTAACTTCAATTATTTTTGCTTTAGCCATTCTTACAAACTTGTAATACTTGAACTTAAAGTTACTTTTTTCTGTTTTAAATACTAATTAAAATTATAAAGCCCACTCACTTAACATCAGCATTATTGTGAAGCAGTTCCGCTTCCTCCTCACATAGTAATTTAATGTTTTTAGTTAATTTCTATTTAGCTAATTGAATTTCTACAGTAACTCAATGATTTAATTATTTTATTTGCTCATCTTAGTAAGAAAAATTTTTTCAAATGTGTTAAACTTTTCAAACTACACGAAGCAAAATACAGTTATTGAAAAAACTTTTTTATTTATAAATAAATCATCTAGCGTTAGTTTTATTGGTTAAATCTTGTTGGACTTTTCAGGGCCAGGGACTGCATTATTTTGGTGGCCTTTTTTATGTGCCACAACATAAAAATGACTCAAAAAAATACCTAATTGTCCTCTTGACTTTTTCGCGGCCCCTATTTTTGTGAGTCCCGAGGCTATAGCCCTTCTACTTCCCCCCCCCCCACTTCCTAAATCCAGCACTGGAAATAAGACATAAGGATATAAATAAAAATTATATATACTCTTTGATAAATCGAAGAACATTTGTTTCCTTATTAAACAATTATTAATAGTAAGTTGTTACTTTATATATAAAATGTCACTTAATTTTATAAAAAAAATTATAAAAGAGCGACGTTTCAAGAATATTTGCTCTAATAGTATTTATTATGCTTAAAGTTTTTTCGCGTTGAAAGATATTTTTCTTTTTTTAACTGTCTCTCATCGGTCCAGTTAATCTTATTGCGCTTTTTTGTTTGTTTTTGAAATGTTCTCAAAACGACTAAAAATCTGGCCGGTTTTTCGCAACTAAATATTATTTCCGTGGTCAATTATCGAGTGCGATCGCACCCGCTTCCCGACCAAACCTGATATATGTAATATATATTTATACATATATTACATATATATATATTTATATACGTATATATATATATATATATATATATATATATATATATATATATATATATATATATATATATATATATATATATATATATATTACATATATATGTATATATACATATTACATATATATCTTATACTGCTGAGTTAGGTGAGCATGATGATATCATACTGAAATAGCCTGCTGCCGGGGGCTTTAGTACATACATTGACTGACAATTAGCCTGACTAGATGTACTAGCACTATGGAGTGCTGCTACATAGCCTAAGGTTTTGGGATGGGTCAGCAACCTTTTTCATTCATTATTCTTTGATTTCTTCTTTTTCTCAAAAATCTATATTGATTTAGATGAGCAAAAAAAGTGAGCAATGGCACATATAAATATGCTATCATATATATATATATATATATATATATATATATATATATATATATATATATATATATATATATATATATATATATATATATATATATATATATATATTATATATATATATATATATATATATATATATATATATATATATATATATATATATATATATATATATATATGTATATGTATATGTATATGTATATATATATATATATATATATATATATATATATATATATATATATATATATATATATATATATATATATATATATATATATATATATATATATATATATATATGAATTATGAGTTTAAGCTGTTAAAAATAAAATGAATTCAAGTAAAAAAAATACTTTATTTATTGTTTAGGTAAAAAGTAGACATTAATACTTGAGTCTTTAAATCTAATGAACGTAATTAAAGTTTAAAGTGAGTTGGTACTCAGTCAAGTAAGTCATGTGGTAAAATGATGACAATAATAATCATAAAAACAGATGAGAGCTAGCATGATGTAATTTTTATTTAAATATAATAATTGAGAAACTTAAAACATCACAATAATATATATAACATAATAAACACTATACTTAATAACATTATTACACGTATAGCATATATAAAATATAAAGGAAAATTATAACCGAAAGATATAAGTGACAATTTAAACCAAAACAAAAGTTAAAAGTAAAATAATAAACTTGAAAACATTAAATAAAACAAAAAAAAAAAAAACATTCAGATAAAAAAAAATTTAGAGAAAACTATAATAAATAATAAATTATAAATTCATTTTGGAAATAAAACATTAAAAACATACAGCTTTATCAATAATCAATTGTTGAGGACGAATCGGAACAACAGTTTTGTAATGAGGAATTTTCATTCTAAATAAATATTCAGTTAATTAAATTGGATATTAAAAACTCTTTGAAAATATAAAAAAACAAGGAATTTTACTTTTGCTGAAAAACCAACATATTTCGAGTTAGTCCTTCCAAACAAAGAAGATCATATCTAAAATCATAAATACTTTATTAATTTTTTCTTTTTGGTTAAGTTTCATTTTTTAGTTTTACTTTTGTATTTCTCAAATAGCAATCCCCATGTGTACATCAGCAATGAGCCTAGAACTTTTTTGGCTGTTTATAAATAAATATTATAAATTATAAATAAATTAAAAAGTTTACTTTTTAATTTATTTCATTGTCCTAAAGAAAAAATGATAAAATATTCAAAATAATTTGTTATTTACTAATGCATTTAAAACCTAAACTCTTTATTCTTTCTATTTTTTTTAAAAAAGCAAAAAAAAAAAAATAATAACAAATAATAATCAAATGAAACTGAGCACAACAAGAGAAAATAAAAAAATGTAGAGTGCAACAATCAACGAAACAAAACAATGCAGAGTGCAATCTACTATTAAAAACTAAAATATTTTTTGTAAAAAACTACATCAACAGCTAGTTAAATGTCACTAAAACATAAAAAAAGTTGTTTATTGGGATGACATTAAAAAATTTGTAATTCTATGTTTCTTTATTTCCTAGAGTTTACCATTCATCAACAAACTTCTTGTTTATCAAAACTTTTATCAAAATTTGAAAAATGCCCATGCAAATGTCGATAACCATAACCAAAAATCATATAGCGAGGCAGCTTACCTAGTCTGTCTAAATTATTTTTTAAAAAATGAAACTTTAAACTAAGTTTTGTATACATAGCACTTTATGTATTATGCACATTTTGTGTTTATGTAAAATATTCTGTGTTTATGTAATATATTCTGTTATTTAATATATTCTGTTATTTAATATATTCTGTTATGTAATATATTCTGTTATGTAGTATATTCTGTTATGTAATATATTCTTATATTATTATAAGGTTTACAAATGCACAAGAAAGACTTCTTTTAAAAATCAAATCTAAGCATTAAGTTTTTGATTAAAACTCTTTTTAGATAAATACTTTTTATTTCTACTCAAACTTCTTGGGTAACATTACCCAAGAGGTTTGAGTAGAAATCTTAACCATTGCCTGTAGCCTCATCATATCAGTCATTATTGCAATAAAACAGACCTACACCCCTCCCAAAATTAGGCAACACCAGTGATTTAAAAAAAAAAATGTGGATATAGAAACAATCACTCACAAAAAGTGTACCCAATTAATATAACAAATACAAACAATAATATATAACATAAACATATACACATTAAGATTTAAAGACCATAAACAACAATATTATTCACTGTATAATAAATAGATAAAATGAAAAGATAGATAAGCATTTTACCATATTTAATAAGTTTATAAAAATTGTAAAGAGGAAAACTAGTTATGGTTGCTTACAGACTGAAAACAATACGGCTGTCAAGAAAAAGAAAAAAAGAGATCTTAATTGAAGACATTATGGTGCTAACAATAACTAAGTCACTTGGCGATGTCAAACAAATAAAAAATCCTTGCAATTTTATTAGCTACAAATACACACCAAGAAATTGTATAATTTAATAGGTATTTATAGGACTATATTCCTAATAAAAATAACAAGACACTTCAATTGTGATTTGATGTTAAGCCTATAAAACGGTTATAACTTGCCACAAATCTAAGCCACTAAACATCACTATATATACTGATTCTAAATACAGTTATTAGGTATGAAGTGTAAGTTATTGCTGTGTATTATGTTAAGTCTAGTCCAATCAGAGGCCGGTTACAAAGGTAAATTAAAACCTAAAACTGAGAAGCCAATCATATATCATAACTGAGAAGCCAATCATACATACATGCGGTAGTGGTGTAGTGGTAAGAGCGCTCGCTTTATAAGCGAGAGGTTTGGAGTTCGACTCCCACCACGTCCCTGGAAGTACCGCGCTTAACTTAATATCTCCGTGCAGCGGTCTTGCTTGTCAAGGTTCGTGTTTCAAAGTTAAAGAGTTGAGAGAGGGTTGTACCACGATTTACAACAAAAAAAAAAAAAAAAATGAGTAGCCTCCTCGACTGTAGTGGCCCCCTCGGGCCTTGGAGAGGTGAATAATTAAAAAATATATATATCAAATAGCCCACAATGGATTAGATACCTACACATGGAGAATCTCTGATCTAAAATCTCACCAGAGAATGCCCTGGATTGGGATCAGTCTTGTAAGAAACTAGTGTAAAGAGCTGTTTGACAATGCAGTCATATCTATGAGAAAGAACGGCGGATAAGACACCTGTGCATAGACAAATCTCTGAACTAACTCAAAAATCTCTAATACACATCCAGTACCAGTAAACCAACTCATGGCAACTCAGATTGTGTTCTGTGTGACGCTTAAGAAGGGTAGTGATATTTGTAATTGTAATATTAATCGTATAAGTAATACAAGATAATGACAATTAAAGCATCATGCTATATTAATAAGAAAAGATAAGTATTTATATATAGAATGAAGAAATAAAAAAAGTGATAAACTAAAAAAAATAATGATAATATGTGTATAATAGCAGGATTGGAATTAGGCGTGATTGCTTTTCACACCTTTGCAATTAGTTTTTTCTTAAAAAAAATATTTTGACAATTTGTTCTTTTTTTTTATGTTTTCTTTTTTTACATTTCTAATTTTTTTTTGGTATAGCAGGCTTGGTCGGGAGCGATCGCTCTCGAATACTGACCACGGAAACTATATTTAGTTGCGAAAAACTGGCCAGCTTTTTTAGTTGTTTTGAGAACATTCAAGTTTATGTACGAAACAAAAAACTTTTGTTTTACAGACATACATGGAAACATAAAAAACTTGAACGTTCTCAAAAAAAAGAAAGAATAAAAAGAATATATTTGCGAACACTAAAAACCCGCCAAATTAACGAACAAACTAATTCCATTGGTTCAAAAAGTACACTGACTAAGCAAAATAAAGTTCTATAGTATTCTGTTGGTATTTTTTTGAAATTGTATTATTCACGATTTGTTACATTTTGAGATTTCTTGCATAAATTGTATTAAGAATATATATTATTTGCTTACGAAAATAAATGTTTTAAACATATGTTAATTAAATTGTCAAAATTTTGAAAGTTTATTATAAATTATAGATTTTATTAGTATATTCTTATTTTTTATTTAAAAAGTATGCATTTTTTATGTAAATGTAATTTTGTGTATCTGTTTTTTATCGTAATGTATTTTTAAAGCAATTTTTATGATTTAAACAAAGACTTACAAAAATAATTGCGTTTTTAATGAAGTTATAATCGTTAAAGTTAATAAAACTAATTATGTAACAAACATATAAGAAGTTTTTGGTTACTAAACACAAAGTAATGCATACAAAGTAACTCGTGGATGAACAAGCACCACGCCTGAGGTCACGACAGAACACAAATATATATAGCAAATAATTAAATATAAAGAAAAGTTTCTAGATATTGGTTTACTAACTCTAATTATTTTTGCTTAAGTTGCTATTCTTAAAACTGGTTATATTTTTTTCTGCTTTAAATACTAGTTAAAATTAAAAAGCCTACTCACTAAACATCATCAGCGATATTGTGAAGCAGTTTCGCTTTCTCGTCAATTTTTAACCTTTTTAGTTAATTTCTATCTTGTTAATTTAATTTCTATAGTAATTCAATTATTTATTTATTTATTTTGTTTATCTTTCTGAGAAGAATTGCTTCAAATATGTTAAACTTTTCAAACTACGCCAAACATAAAATAGGTTTTAAAAAAATTAACTTTTTTTATTTATAAAATAATTTAGCTTAAATAAAACTAAAACTTGCAAACTTTGTTAAATAAAGAATATTTGTTTCCCTTTTAAACAATCGTAAGTTGTTACTTTATATAAAAAACATCGCTTAATTTTATAAAAGAAATTATAAAAGAGCGATGTTTCGAAAATATTTGTTCTAAACGTAATTTATTTAGCTTTAAGTTTTTTTCACGTTTAAAGATATTTTATTTGCCTATTTTTTTTTTTTGTAATTGTCTCTGATCGGTCCAATTAATCTTTAGCGCTATTTTTTTTGGTTTTTAAAATGTTCTCAAAACAACTAAAAAATCTGGCCAGCTTTTCGCAGCTAAATATTATTTACGTGGTCAGCAATCGAGAGCAATCGCTCCCACTTCCCGACCAAGCCTGGTATAGAAATAATAAAGTAAAGTATAGAATGTGTTTGTCTAAGTTTTTTTTAATGGATCATAAGCATGCCACGCTAAATTTATCTTAAATAGATATGATTATTTGCTATCTTGCGCAGAGATTTTCATACAACACAAATCGCTTTTGAATTTAAATTACCTTCTTGGTGTAGTTAATGCGATTTACAAAACATTTTAACGCTTTTATTTGGAATTAGTGTGGTTTTGTCAGCATATAATGTCCAAACAAGATCTTTAAATGTTATAATTTTTTTTGCTTAAAGTTTCTATAATATTTAAAGAAAATTTTCTTTTTTTTATTTAATTTACAAAACCTTTTTACTACCTGATATAGTGAATATAAAGAACACTGTTTTGGAGTCTTTAAATCAATTCCGCTCATCAGAATTAACATGAATTTAGTTGAAAAAATTTTAAAAAATTCCTAAATTTACTACTGATCTTAGTTCTAATTGGTTCTGACGTATATTAACTATATATAGTTGTCAAAACACAATATTTCACAAAAAATACTAGAATTCCGACCAAAAAAGAGCTTATAATTATGGAAAATTGCCAATAAACAATCAGAACGGAACATTATAGTTTAACATTGTTAAACTATAATGTTCATTTCACCTAAAAAACGTATTAATATAAAATCTTATTCAAATTTGGACGAGCAATTTTTAGATGATTTTTTAAAAAAAAAAAAAATCTTCGGTCTGGGTTTTTTTGCTACAAACATTTATATTTTATGATACCGCAAATTTATCATTTTAATATTTTTCATCTTTTCATAATTCACAGACCAGACCATTTAACATGGACAAAATATCATACAGAAACAAAAATAATTTATATATATATATATATATATATATATATATATATATATATATATATATATTATATATATATATATATATATATATATATACGCACCTATTTGCCGGAACATCAATTTTGTAAATAATTTCCTCTGAAGCTTCTCCTGCTTTAGCTTCCCCCTTTTCTTTAGAAACCATCATTTTTTCTGATGTCTAAATTGAATAAACTTTAATTTAAAATTATACTGTCATACGGGGTAGTATAGCCACCATGGGGTAATACAGCCAGTTAAGCATATTGTTCTGTTTTTTGCTAAAAAATGATCAAGTTTTAGAAATGTTATAAAAAAATTAAAATTATAATAGTTTTGTTGTTGAATGTTTTTCACATGTTATTGTTTTGGACTTTTCAGATTTTTAAAAGCGCTTACTTGTCCAAGCAAATATTTAATGGTAAATTTTAAAAATTGGGGTAATATGATCACTTATTGATTTGGTATGCAAATGTAATTAATTTTCTTATTTTTTTATCAGTTGCAATATGCCATGCACATAAAAACCAAAGGAAGGTTGCACACATAGTAACTACCCCATAGAGAAAGTGGGCGAGGTTGTGAAGGCCAGCAAGTATTCCAGTTAAAAGGGCCTCTTAGACCTACAAAATTTCCAGATCAACTATTAGAATTTATCAATGTGGTAAAACAAAAATATGCAGATACCTAGTTACTGCCCTTCCTGCCCATGAAGAGCTTGTCATTACTCATAAACGAGTGGTTCCGAATTCGATCCCCACCACGTCCCTGGTAGTACCGCGCTCAACTCATTTCTCTGTGCAGCGGCCTTGTTCGTCAAGGTTCGTGTTTCAGAGTTATAGAGTTAAGAGAGAGTTATAGCCACAAATAAGCCTCCTCGTCTGTAGTGGCCTTCTCGGCCTTGAGGAGGTGAATTAAAATAAAAATTAAAAAAAAAAAAAAAAAAAACATACTTCCTTTAATTTCATAAACATGTATTGCAATGTTTTGTTGTTTAACAAAACATCGCATTTGTTTTGTTTAAACTTTTTTTGTTAAGTGGCTTAACTTAAGATTTGTCAAAGAAATGATTTTTACTAATAAACTTTGGTTAACGTTTTAAAGCTAGATTGTTGATTTTCACATATTATGTATTATCTTATATCAGTAATTTTTGAATAAAATTTACAAATTTATAGCTTTTATTTATTTTTTTATATTTTATTTGATAATCTAGTTTTGTGATTTGCAACTTCCTTTAACTTCATAAACATATTTTGCAATTTTTTGTTGTTTAAATTAGGCTTTTTTAACTAAGTGGCCAAAAAACCCCATTTTTGGATTTTTTGAAAATAGTTTTTAATAACTTTTGGTTAAAGTTTTAAAAGTTACATGAAAAAAGTTACATGGGTGATTTTAACACCTTGTAGAAGTAATTCTTGAATAAAATCTGTAAGCTCTTGTATTTAGTTAACTATTGGGAAAAAAAAAACAGTCAAAATGTGGCCATATTACCCCATATGATAGTATATTTAAAAAAAAATGTCAACAATCTAATTATCAATTAGTTGATTTAAATTTTTATTAAAAGAATTACTTTATGTATATACAGAGTGAAAATCTTATTTACTGGCTATGATAAGAATAAATGAGAAAATGAGCTGAAACAATGGTAAATGAGTGAAGTAATTGTCATTGAAAATACATAAGCCAAGCAAAACTTAAGTAGTATCTTTTTGCGCAAACTATTGGCTTTAGCACAAGCTTTTGGTATAAATCCATTTTTACTTATTGCCTATGACAATTTAAGAAAAATGAATATGATAAAAAACAAACTTAATGCATTTTAAAACACAAATTATTTATAAATTTATATCACTTATACCACAAATTTATAACAAAAACTACTTTGTTATATAAAACAAAATAAAAATCAGTTTGTAAATATAAAGTATAAATGAAGTAGAAAAATTTTTAAATTTCTATTTTACTTACAACTCCATCAAGCTCCAATCCATATTCAAAACAAAGTTCATCAAACTCTTCTTCCGCTTAAAAAAAAATTTTGTGATATATATATATATATATATATAGATATATATATATCTTATATATATATATATATATATATATATCTTTTATATATATATATATATATATATATATATATATATATATATATATAAAAGATATATATATATATATAATATATATATATATATATATATATATATATATATATATATATATATATATATATATATATATATATATATATATATATATATATATACAAGGGTTGAATTAAGGCATCGCGATTTGCGATATCTGTTAAATTATCTGGTCTTCAAAGTTTCAGTTTATGGAAAACCACGAAATTTACCGAATAGGCGAATAAACTTTAATTTGTTAGTGAAAATGTTATGAAAAACAAAACAATAAATTTATGACTACAAAAGTAATAACACTACAGTGTTGTCTTAAAAATCAACCAATGAAAACACTGGTAATTTACTTCTTAGGAGAAATCTATTTTAAAGGGGAGGGGGGAGGAGGAGGCTATAAACTTAAATTTTGTTATATTATTTAATCAATTAAACCATAATAAAAGTAAAGATAAAAAAATATATTTCTAAATATACTTCTTTATAACTAAAATTTATTAAATTGAACACCTCTGTTTTTAGTTTTAAGTAAATGTCAGTACTACTTTCAGTCGCGAAACTGTGGGGGGAGGGGGGGGGGGGTTTAGCAAACAAAAAGTGTCCCATTTTTAAGCTAATTTTAGGTTGCATAGGCGATGTGGGGCTCAATTTGAAAATTGTGCGGGAGGAGGGGGGGGGGGAATTTAGCTACTGACTACTCTAATGTGCTTAATACAAAGGTAGGTGGGGGTGGGAATTTTAGTCCGGATGTATAAAATGGTAGGAGGAAATAATAAAAAAAAGGGGGAGGATTTACAATGAAAGTTTTATTATTTATCGGTTACCCATATATATTTGTTTAATTTTAAAGCCAATTTTCACTGAATTTTTGTTTTGAGATATAGTTTTTTGTTCATAACAAGTGAAAATGAACAAAATGGGGTTGGAGTTGGGTTTTAATAAGCTTGGTGTGGGGGGAGATGTTTTCCAAAAATTATCAACTCTCTCCCCATTAAGCCCCTTAAAGCATTTTTATTATAAAAGTAGCGAAATTCCCCCCCCCCCCTGCACAATTTTCAAAATTAGCCCCACATTGCCCATGCAACCTAACATTAGCTTAAAAATAGGACACTTTTTGTCTGCTATCCCCTCAAGGCCGCAGTCAAGGCTAACGCGATAGGGGTGTGTGGGGGGTGTCACAAACCCCCCCCCCCCCCCCCCCAATTAATGATTTTTAGTCGGCAAACTGGACCCTTAGTCGGCAAATTAGACCGTTTTAGACTTGTTAGTCGGCAAATATCGACCCTTTCGATATAGGTTAGACAGTCGGTAAATGTCGTCATGACAGTCGGCAAATTTTGGGAAACGAGAACCTTTTTTTTTTTTTTTTTTTTTTTTTTTAGTTGACAAAAGTTGTAATGGCACCACCCCCCCCCCCCCTACGTAACACCTACTTGCGCCGGCCCTGCCCGCAGTTTCGCCACTGAGAGTAGTACTGACATTTACTTAAAACTAAAAACAGAGGTGTTCAATTTAATAAATTTTAGTTATAAAGAAGTATATTTAGAAATATATTTTTTTGTCTTTACTTTTATTATGATTTAATTGATTAAATAATAAAACAAAATTTAAGTTTATAGCCTTCTCCCCCCCCCTCCCTTTTAAAATAGATTTCTCCTAAGAAGTAAATTACCAGTGTTTTCATTGGTTGATTTTTAAGTGAACGCGCGCTTTTTCCGGACCGTTAGTAAGATGTTTACAAATGCTAAACTGTTTATAAAAATATGTATTTCTAAAAGTTGCTTAGGTTTTTAACATTGTTTAAATATCCGTTGTATTTTTTCTAGATGCATTACTACTTTAATTAAAGTTTGGAATTACTTAACTAAATCATTTTTATTTATAATAGCTTGATTATGTGTTGTTTGATCAAACAATAAACTATAAATGTAACTTAAAAAAGTGTTATGAAAGTAACAACACTGTAGTGTTATTACTTTTGTAGTCATAAATTTATTGTTTTGTTTTTCATAACATTTACACTAACAAATTAAAGTTTATTCGCCTATTCGGTAAATTTTGTGGTTTTCCATAAACTGAAACTTTGAAGACCAGATAATTTAACAGATATCGCAAATCGCGATGCCTTAATTCAACCCTTGTATATATATATATATATATATATATATATATATATATATATATATATATATATATATATATATATATATATATATATATATCAGGCCTTGCGATAAAGCGTCGGGCGATGTGAATTTTACGTCGTCCAAAAGCGATTTTGCGTGTAGCTAGGGCTATTTGCGTCGAGCAAAAAAATTTTTGTTTGAGTATATTTAAAGATATTTTTGAGCGGAATTTTAATGAAGTAATTTACGATTATTTTAACATTTAATAAAGTATTTTAAAAACCACACGCAGTTGAAATAAAAGTTTGAATTAAAAAAATTAAATATGCTCATTATTTACAAGTAGAAAAAATTCAGATTAAAAAATAAGTTTAAATTTTTAAGCTAACATTTTAATAAAATTATTCAGCAATAGCAACGTTGTCGATAAAATAGAACAAAAATACTTTCTTTTAGTTTTAGATTTTAAACTTAAATAATTATTTTACGGGGGTTTGATAGGTTTTAAAATTATTCTATAGATTTAAAAATATTTATTAACTGTTAGACGTATTTAAAGTATTTAAGAGTAATTTCGAGGAAACATTTTAAAAATTGGTGAGGGCAAATTAATAAAAAAAAAGGATTAATATTAATATTAATATTAATATTTAATATTAAAACATATTCTACTTGATTTAATAAAAAAGTACAGTTATTAAAATTTTTGTAAAAAGTAACTCAAAAAAATTACTTAATTAATAACGATCGCTTTTATGTTAAAAGTTACCGAAACTCAACAAAGCGTGCTCAAGAACAGCTGCTGAAAAATAGAACGTCAATAGTTTTTCGAATAATTTTTAAGAATAATTTTTAAGAATAATTTTTTCGCTGAAATATTTCTTTTATACCTATAAGATTTTTATTCTAACATTTTATTTTATTTTACTAGAAATAAAATTCCTTGTTAACATTAAAAATCTATTCAAAACGTTCGTTTAAGTTTTTTATTAATACGAGTGATTGTGCTTATCAACCGCTTTATGAAAATAAATAAAAATAAATTAAAAAATATTATATAAAATCGCTTGTAAAAATATTAGCTATTGCACAGTTTTTAATCGTACAATATTAAAATTTCCAGTTTATTACTCGCTGACTTTTTAAAAAGAAAAAATAATTATTTAAAAAACTTTAAATTACATATTTAAGAAAAAAAAAATCAAATATTAGCATATTTTATAATCTTTTTTAAATTTAAGTTATGTTTTTTATTCGTTTAGTATAGACAAAACGTGACAAACGTCAAGATAATAAACAAATGTTTTTACATTTTAAAAAACGAAACATTCCAAAACAATTTTAAATAATAACATTTCTACATAAACGATTTAAAGTAGTTTTGCGGTAATTAAGTAAATTGGTGCAGTAAATGTCGATAAATATGAAAAGCAAGTAAAAAGAATTTAATGACGTCAAAAATCACGTCGTGCTTATGCGTCGTGCAGTTCTTATTTATCGCAAGGCCTGTATATATATATATATATATATATATATGTATATATATTATATATATATATATATATATATATATATATATACAGGCCTTGTTACAAGATTTCGCTGCGTAACGGAAAAGCGGAACGTGAATAAATGTAACTTTACTCAATAAAGGTATTTACATTGTTAAAAGTTAATTTACGTCAGTTGCATTTTTACTTCATTGTAATTAAATTTAAAATGACATTAAAATCTATTGTTAGTCTTTGAAACGAAATAGCTTTGAATTGAACAATGTTGTTATAAAAAAAAAATTTCAATGTTGATTAAAAAAAAGTCTTCTTGTATTAAAATCTTTTACTTATTTGAACTTAATTTTTTTGCTTTTAAACATTCGTTTTATGGTTGTTTTTTTTTTACTTTTTTTTTAAATAATTTAAATTTAACACTTGTTTATGGTTGATTTTCTTAAAGGGATTTAAATGTACTTATAACTAAACGCATAGATTGGGTTTTCCCCTTTTAAAAAAAACGTTTGTACTAACTGGTTTTGATAAAATAAATGTTGTAAAGAAACGAAATTTACTGCTTTTTCGGCTTTGTTTTTTTTTTTTTATTTCCATTAAACTATATTATTTTTATGTACAGTGAAACCTAATATTTTTTTTCTCAATCCAAAAAAAAATAGTGTTTTCGGTTTTCAGATGTTATAAGCAGAATTTGTTTTTAACAAATATCATTATAATTTTGAAATTTATGTATCTTATATTTATAGCTCAAGTACTAGTTTTGTTTTTAAAATAAAATAAAGATAAGTTGGGCTTTTAAAGAGTTTATTTACTGATAGCGTTATTTTTAATAGGTTTGTATTTTGGTTTGTTCAAGGATGTATTATTAATACGCCCTTGGTTTGTTTTATAAAAAAAAATTCTTTGGCAAACGGCAAAGGGAAAACCCAAACATAACATTTATAACTCGAGTTTAAAAGTATTGACGTCATTTATTAACTTGTAGTTATAAAATGAATAATGCGCTTCTGTAAATAATGAATGAAACTGTAAAATAATGGAAAAATAAAAACTGGAAAATAATGCGCTTTTGTTAAGCGTATCTTTCAGACCAGTATTTGGAACTTACCTGAAACTTAACTAAAATTAAAATAAAGTTATATGTAATACGAACATTTTAAAGTAACTTGAATTAAATTTATTAAATCTTTTTTTACTTTGGTAATTTTATCATAAAAAAAACGGAGCATTTTAAAATTAAAAAATTTTAAAA